CCTACAGTAGAGTAATGGCGTGAGATCGATTACTGGTGCTTCCACTTTAGACATAAGGGCAACGGCAAGTGTTGGTGCCAGTCGCTGTCCCATGGCCAACCCTCTAATTTGCGCGTAATATTTCCCGGACCATCTGAAGATCGAGCAGTTTAAACAGACCTTCAGGAAGACCATAAGCTGCTGAATCGAAAAGCCATACATGTTGATTAATTGCTCCTCCGTGTTGCTCAAGAAGCTCGCGGATGGCTTGCATTGCGGAGTCGTTCGACACGTTAGTGTAAAGGGCAATAACGTCGAACGACTCCATAACGTGCTCGCTTTTGGGGCGTGCGTTACGCTGACGGTCTAGGTACATTTGGGTGTTCGTGAGATCGGCTGGTATGTGCCTAAGCAACTGGTTGACGATTAGGTTTATAAACCAAGCAATTCTATCCGTAGGCCTGTCTACACAACTGATGATGGGTCTCACTTTAAAAGTGGAGAGGTCGGTAGACGCCAGATTATCAGCGCATATTAGCTTATGGGTCTTGATAAGTAAGTATAGGAAGGGACATCTCGGCACTTCGATCTTAAGATGCGAAATGTCTGCGAGTTTTAAACCTGCTGCGCTTGCCGTTTTGATCCAATCGCTGTTCGGTTTTCGATTTTGCTGGGGTTATGAAAGTGTTTGGCTGAGTAGATCACATCTCAATTTGACTTTTCCAGGCTCTGTAGAAGGCGAAACCGCCGAAACGTCAGCTATTGTATTCTAATAAATTCTGTGTTAGCAACCTCGTGTTTGCTTATTGAAGAAAACATTGAATTATCAATTAATGCCGAGGTTAACAGAAAGTCGGTCTTGGGAACTTAAGGACTTCCTAACTATCAAGGGCTTCCATGTCTGCTTCATCTCATTTGAGTCAAAAGCCTTCTTTAAATCGATGAAAGTGAGACAAGCGGTCTTTTGTGCTCTCGTGTTACTTCAAAGGGTCTTGTTGTCGTGTGGATATGGTCCATCGTACTAAATCCTTTTCGAAACCCTGCTTCCTCACTTCACTGCTGTTCGTCCAATGTTCTGCTAATTCTATTTAGGATGAATCGAGTTTAAAGTTTGTGGGCGACACACATGTGGAATCGACGCTCACGCTTATGGCCCACCAAGCGTCCCATACCTCCGGGGTCGGCAATGGTACCAAACTTGTCTGGAGGGATAGCAGCACTGGCTCGACACATCGGTAGGCCACCGCGAGTCATTGTAAAGGCCAGATATGCATTGAATCACCTCCAACGACACTTAATGAAGCCGAATGCACGGCACATCCCTCAGGGATTGATCAACGCTGAGAGAGAGATAGAGACCATATACAGCAAGCAGATTGGGCGATAGTTGCCGATATCGTGGAGGTAACCCTTCTTGAACAATAGTACTGTCGTGCTGGTCATCCGCTGAGTAAAGACCTTGCATTCAGACAGGTAACTTAGGAAGAGTGGAGCCAGTGTGCTTAGGAGCACTGGTGGAAGGTTCCTCAGGTGTTCAGATCTCATCCTGTCCAAACGTGGTGCTGTTCCATTTTTCACTGATGAAATAGTAGATCCGATTTCGGAAGGAGGGATCGGTTGAACGACATATCCATCCTCGTCTATTTTATATATGGGTAGTAGGACGTGGCCACTGATCAGATCTGACTTGTAATCGTGAACGATTTTTTTCATTGCCTTTTTGGACGGTGTAACTATTCTGTGCGTCGGAGTACAATGGTCATGATTTTGTAAATAGCAAAGCTTCGGTGGACTTAGCGAGTACTTTTCTGAGCCTCTGGTGCTTTGGCCAGAACTGCTGATCTTCCCTCATTAAGATTTTCTTTTATCGCCTGTCTGCATTGTTTTGCAAGTTCGGACGTCAGTTCGCAGTTGCCTGTGCAGTTCCAGCTGGCGTATCAGCTCGAGAGTTTTTGGAAACAGACGTCTCTTGGTGAATTTCGAACTTTCAGCTTTCATAGCGCTAGCGTGAAGATGTTGAATGAGCCGACCGTATTCTTCGTCGATGTTATAGAGAACGGCATCTTTCCAACAGCCGATTAATGAACTTCATAAGCCCAGTTTATGGTTCTTTTCGAACTCCGTATTTTGAATTTAGATGCTTTTTCTCTTTTCGCGAAGAATGAAACCTTGCATGAAGGTAGAAGGGGTGTGGTTCTCTGTATAAATTTGGGAGAACAGCGGCACTGACTAGGCAAAACCTTCGATTTTCTATGATGTAGTCTACCTGGTTGTCGTTCTCTCCACTGGGAGTCTCTGACGTCCAGTGTCAAGAGTGGGGATCTTGGAACTGCGAGTGATTATGAATGATGTTGGGGGTTGTTATAAGTTCAAACAGGCGTCCACTTTTTCTGGTCCATTTTAATCTGTGGGTCGCATGTATTTTCTTCATAGTTTCCTTTGTTCCACTCTTACAGTTAAAACCTCCAACGAAAACCTTAAAGAATGTTTGGTCTTGTTTGCAAAACTTCTCTATGCTCGTATAAAATGGTTCGACTTCATCTTCATCATAGCTTGATGTCGCTGCGTAGACAACGACAACGTTTTTCTAAGCCGGTATTGATCCATATCTTTTCAATCGTAGACGTCGAATTGGGAATTAGTCAAAATAGAATACCCTTGAGATTTTGGCGGCCTCTCTGTACTCGTCCTACCCAACGCTGCCGCATCTGGGCTCTTTCGGGGTTAAGGGAACAAAGACCGTTTATCTTACTGTATTTAGGCATTTATGCCCATATGTAGCTTGCTGAACACTGAACGTGGAAGCTAGCTATAGTCATGGGTAGCTTGCCAGTTGCTCCAAGAGTAGGTGGGGAACTTTCTTGTTGGAAGCGATTCCTAGTCGCCTCACATATTCTTCCCTGTCACTTGATTGCAGCTTTGTGGGCGAATTGACTCGTAGGATACAATCCGCATAAACTAGAACGCGCTCACACACGCGTGCATGAATACGTTTAGTAAATGCAGAAGGCAAGTGCTATTCGACACAGCAAAAACATGTTGTCAGTCGTCTGGATTTACCTGCTCTTCAGGGAAGCAGAAGGTCACTTTTAGTCCGCGTTTAACCCCTATCCGCAACCTGGGTGCGCCACTTCATCTCGAGACTAAATGACAGAACATCCCTCTATGAGCGAGCTCCGTGGATGCCGAAGTAGAAGTTCCGTATTATTGTTAGACGTGAAATAAATGAAAGTTTTCTCGTAATCTAGGCGCCTTTTTTCCGTTCAGGCAATTCACCATGTTTTTTAGACAACAGTGTTAGGCAAAACCAGTTCCATTTTGTACACAACGGTTTTTCTGGTTTTCCTGACCACTAATCTAGTTACTGTATTTCATTTCTCGCTGTTGAATTCAAATTTAACTCAGAAATTTTAAGATAGTAAAAAGCGCTTAGTAATTACTTCCTTCTTCCTTATTTCTCTTTCTCTTTTTAAGATGTTTTTGTATTTTGATGCTGTGCGCTACCCTGTGCTTTTGACATGTCTCAATTAAATTATGTATTCACGAAATTATGTGATGCGTTGCACCACGTTTTTGAAGTTCTCTCTACTGTTCTCGTGGACATTTTTCTTTTGTGGACTATTTCTCAAAATTTTCCCATTCACAGCAAATTTAAATTCTTCAATTTGACGTTCGAGTATGTACTTGTTATCATCATTCCTAATCTTTTGCCATTTCACTGGGGCTGGAGATGTTCTTGGGTGCCGAACTATTATATACAACAAGGATTCCGGAGAGGATTCTCTTCAGACGTTGATCATCGCGCTCTATCCTGCCCATAGAATACCACCCAAATGTTGACATAAGGTTAGAAGATCGGTATATGCCATTGAATGGCAGATCTTTGTCATTCGTAGAGAAGAGTTTCAGTCACTCAATATCGATGGAATAGACTTTGTCGTCCGTTCTTTCAAAACTCTTCACGTCGTCGTTTCATATGGGATCTTAACAACGCCTGCTCTTGAGATCGTCGAGAAATGAGCCCAGTGCGAGTAGCTGTTATTCATGAACTTGTGCTGCTGATGAGAACTCCGCGTCGAAAACTCCAATGAATTTGCTGTCTTACAGAACCATAATTGAGTACAGGATCGAAAAATTTAGAATAGGAGACATTTGTTTTGTTAACCTTTTGTACACAGCCACGACTTACATGGGAATTCGTCTTTCGAGGAATTCTTCTTTGGATGTGAAACATGCTCGCATTACGCGGCAACTCGTATAGGGTCGACCATATCCTTAGAAAAAGATGGTTGTACCTTTTTTCTGCCGTTATATTATCCCATCATTGCTTGTTGGAGATGGCTGAAAGTGGATTATTATTATTGTCGTCTAAGAAGGAAAGAATAAGTTGCGTGTGACGAATGCGTTGTGAACGAAGACTTTTCTACACATGTATGGCATATTAAGAGTGATTCGATAGAGGACTACACGCTGATTGCTGAATGACTACGCTGTTCCCAACACATCTCATTATTTCAAAGAAGTTCGGAGATCGCACCTCTGTTATCACTAATGACCAACTAATGGGTTACACAAGAAGAGAAGAAAACTAAAGCCTGATTTTTTCTTGACCACAGATAAGGTGGACGATGGCATGTACCAGCTACTGACCTTTGTAGAAGGTATCAGTGGAGACAGAAAAAATTGTCAGAAGGAGCACAAAACAGAAAAAGTCAAAAAAACTGTTCTCGACATCTGATCGAGAATAGCGTTGCTGAACGAGGACTAAATTTTCACCATTTCCCTGCAAGCGCTGAAAGTTTAAAGGAAGGAACCCTACATTAATCTATTCTTGTCTTTCATTGTCTTCGCCCACACCTCAAATTTCTAAAAGAAGAGACGACCAGTTTATCTTCCTCAAATTCGAATTGGGATCTAAAGTCTGAAGAAAGGGACAGTTCGTGGATCAGATAGCTTTTTTGCGGAGTCTATCTTGAAGTTCATGTAAACCGCATGTGACCCTACGTAAGGTTATCTTAGAAATGGATTCAGATGGTGAGAAACTCGGCCCCAATTCTAATAACGAGCGCGCACCGTCAGGGAGAGTTATGCCTCCTAACACGGTTAGCCTTGAATTTTCTTGCACATTACCTATCCATTACACATTACCTTACCTAAATAAACATGTTTGGTTTTAAGATAGAGCACCTGATAGCACTCTTAAAAGAATACTTGAGCTGCTCAATCTTCAGATGGTCCGGAAAGTACTACGCTCAAATAAGAGGGTTGGCAATGGGACAACGACTGGCTCCAAGCCTTGCCATTGCATTTATGTCTAAGGTGGAAGCACCGGTGACTGATCTCGGGCCGCTACTCTACTGTAGGTATGTAGACGACTGCTTTGTCCTTTGCTCAACACAAGAGGAAATGGACAAATGTTTCGAATTGTTAAACGCACAGTCAGAGTATATCAAGTTCACCCGAGAAATGCTATTGTATCCTATGCGATCCTAGTGGGTACTTTGTCTTGCTTTTCGTTTGCCATCTGCATGTTCCGTTATACGGATACACAAAGGTCTGCTCATGTCGCCAATAAATTTATTTCGCTATCATTTCAAGAGATCAGGCACATCGTACCTGAACCAATGCAGTCACCGTTTTTGCCGTAAGGGAAAATTGTGCAATTTATTGGTTCACAGAAGCGGTCATATAGGCGGTTACGGACTAACTGACGACGTAGAGTAGCCGGTGGTATTTCTACTATCGTTACCAATTCCTCTAGGCCTGCCTTTCTTAAACATCGTTTGATAGCTAGGCTTACTTCATCACTAATAAAGGGCAACATAGACGGAACTTTCTTTTGGCGAAGTGTTTCATTTTGGTGCGTCGCTCTCCCTCTAAACTTATCTCGTATGGTTACTGTTTCGTAACCATTGGAGATGGCTATTTACCGAGCCAAGTCGCACGACTCTTCCTTTAGTTTCCTGGTAGTGCACACAGAGGTGGCTGTTCGAAAGATGTTTCTTACGAGCGCCCTCTTTGTGTGTGAAGGGTGGGAAGAAAAGAAATGAACAAGAATGTTCTCGTTACTTGGTTTTGAGTACCACTTTGTCATGTAACCGCTACTTGATAAGTTGACATGAACGTTAAGAAATAGGAGCCAGGTGTCTTTCGGTTTTCCCGGGTAAATTTTATATGCTCAGACTGCTTGTTCAATAATTCAAAGCATTTGTCCATCTCCTCCTGCGTAGAGAAGACGACAAAACAATCATCTATATATCTGTGGTGTAGTAGCGGTCGGAGACCAAGAACAGGGGCTTCCACTCTTGACATAAACGCAATGGCAAGGCTTCGTGCCAGTCGCTGTCCCATTGCCAGGCGCCTTATTTGCGCGAAATATTTCCCAGACCATCTGAAAATCGGGCAGACTAGGCACTCCTTTAAGAGAGCTATTAGCTGCTGGATGGGCAAGCCATGAATGTTTATTGTTCTTTCACGTTCAACAAGAGGTTCGAAGACGACTTGTATTGAGGTGTCATTCGATAGATTGGTGTAAAGCGCGAAAACGTTGGAGGACTCCATCAGGTGCGCGCTATTAGGAGACGCGTTACGTAACGTTCTAGGAAGATTTGGGTGATCGCGAGATGAGCTGGTATATGGCTAAGCAGTTGGGTAAGTGTTCGGCCTAGAAACCATGTTATTCTATCCGTTGGCCCGTCAACACAGCTGATGATGAGTCTAACCTTGTAGGTGGTAGACTCCGGGTCATTAGCTGATACTAAGTTATGTGTTTTAATAAGTAAGTATAAAACGAGACATGCTGGTCGATCTACTTTATAAAGCGAAATAACGATGGTTTTAAGCTCGCCGCCTTTGCTACTGTGACCCGTTCATTGTTAAGTTTTCGGTATTTCTTTCGTATTTATTTTCAGACGATGGGCGATAAAGGGTGAGATCACTAAGATGTTCCTCCGTTATCTCAACATCCAGCCGGCGAGGATTAACTACGAACTCTCCTCCTTATCACTAACCGATATTCTGACGGTCTTCGAATTTCTCTTTCTCTAATTCTCTAATTTCTCGTATACCACATTTTTGTGCAGCTGTGAGGCTAGAGATTCTTGAGGCCTTTTGGATAAGTGCGAAAAACTTCAAAATGAATAGCAGTGAGGAATGCCTAGAGGTCACATGCGACCTGACCCCGTATGTTCGCATCAATTTCTGTTGTGGGATGGTGCAGTCAACAAGTATATGCGACTATAATCAGCTGTTCCAACCTTCCTCATTGGAAGTCACGAAAAAAGCGGTGAGTGTTTCTATAAGCTGTTGATCATGTAATTACCATAGAGTTTTTCGTCTTTTTGTAAGTGTTATTGAAGCGTTTGGCCAAGTAGATTGTATATCAGTACACCCTTCCAGGCTCTGAAGAAAGCCATATTACCGAAACGTCAGTCACTGTTGTATTGTACTGTTTCTCTATGGAAGTAAATGTATGCTGTATAACAACCTCGCGATTGCTGAACAAGAAAAGGGCGCACCGTTGTTTATCGTTGTTTAGCCACCGGAAAGGGTAATAACGGGTTCGATCCCCACCGCAGACATCTGGTTCCGGAGTTTTGCAAATATCTCAGCATAGTTCTCGATATTCTATGTGTTATCGGAGCGTTTGTCTTAGTAAATTGCTTATGAATATACCCCTCCAGGCTTTAAAGAAAGCGAAATCCGCCGAAACGTCGGCTTTAGCGGAATAAAGAATAAAGTAATACCTCGTGTTTGCTCAACAAGAATATCGAAAATTATTCGATCAGTGCCGAGGTTAATAGAAAGTCGGTGGTGGAAATTATTATCTCAGTATAATTGTGATTATATTATTGTTTGATTTTGTTTTGAGATTCGCTCATATCTACCTGGGACAATGGGTCAAAGCAGCGAACTACGCGAAACGACTAGTAAACGAGTCAAAGTGGTCAAAATGCATCTACACTTATCTGTTGTGCATCCTCATTGCAGCCGACACCACTTACGATGATGCAAAGAGGATGGGGACGGTAACTGCACTGGCTCGGTGAGCTCTGAGCACGAAATTGCTTTGAAAACGTTCCCTAAAAATATGCAAGGATATCTATAGAAATAGCTGAGCCGAAAAATTGACCGAAAGAATTTTGCAAAACTCCGGACCGAAACTCCGGACAGAACTAGCTGAGAGACAGGCAAAACGAAGGACCCGCATGGTGTAGTGGTGAACGCGTTACTCCTCGGGAAAGACAATATCGCGTTCGTTCCCCACCGCAGAAACCTGCGGTCCGGAGTTTTGCAACAAACAACTTTATCAACCTCGTGTTCGCTTAACAATCCACGGAGGTAGTGGTTATTACTGCTGATGTGAAATGTCGGTTAGTTGAAAAAATTTTCTTCTTTGCTCAAATTGAGTACATCGTATGTAGATGTCATATAGTACTACATTCTCAATCTTATGAGTCTGACTCGTGATAACCGGAAATGTTTTAGTCAGTTAGTTTCGTGATAACGAAAGAAATTCGGCCTTTCATCTTTAAACATGAACCTCTTACCTCCTATTCATTAATTGAAATAAAAGCGATAGAGCAAATTTCAATTTTCTTTGTTCTTTTTACAGCAGCTTTCATTTACTGGAAGAAATACTTCAGCTGTCAAAAATTTTTGATGGTTGTTGAAAAATGAGCATGGCTGCGAATGTGTTAAGGCTTGACTACTTTAAAATCCATGAAATTTCAGAAGGAGATTCTATACCTTTCCCCTTAATTCATTCAAATTTTTTTAGAACCCTTGAATACAATGCTTTTGTCCTCTCTGAGCAACAAATAGTATGCTTGTTAAAGCTTTTCTTCAGCAAATGAAAAATAAGGCGCATTAAGTTCAGTTCCGCAATGAAATCGATATTATGCAGTGGTTTAGGTCTTATTTTAGCTTAATGTGTTGCTAAAACTCTAACGAAGATTAACCGAATAACTGTTAGAACCTTCTCCATATGCCAGGAAAGTTGACGGTCTTCGCCATCGAATCGCCGGTAAACCGATTCCGGTCGAAAAGTACTGTGCGAGGAAAGCGAATCGCTTCATTGCCAAACAGACACTAATGTTCGCTCATTACGTGAGTTATTCTTGTCTTGGTTTGATATTCTTGTCCGGATGAAGACTGTGGTATTTTACACGGTATCATCGTCGAGATCTAGATTTTATGACTGCTTTCATGCAAACTATTCTGATTTTCCTCATAAAAAATTGTGGTCTCGATATAGCCACCGGTGAGACGATCGTAGATAGTCTTAGTGTTACCTTGATACTTGTTTTTAAACGCTTCAGCGCAGCACGGCTTTCTAAGATGTAGACCCTGCAGTGTCAAAAATTGGTATGAGACTTTCTGGGAATTGCTCCATGCGATCCACAAAAACTGGCTACTGCCTGTGGTGTAGGAATGCATTATTACAGGCTTCGTCGGTTTTCAGTTCGAATACTCAGCCACTATTTAATGATATTAAGAAGACCGAAATTCTCAAGCAAGCCAAACCCAGAGGCAGATACAAAGACACTTGTGTACGATGGGACAAGGAAACGAATTGATTGAAAGAAGCACTGAGTTCAGCACAATATGTGATGTTGGGTCTCGTAAAAGAAATTACTGTGAACAATGAGTTGTCAAATTATTACTAGACCTACATCGTTGGATTGTTCAACTTACATCTGCTTCACATACAACTTTGATTTTGCTAAGGCTTCGACGTATTCGTCTCCTTCGGTTGATCTCAGTTGGTTGTTCACAGCCGTTCGTCTTCGCGATATGGGTGCTCATTGTCGCGTTTAGTGGAATCCAGTGATGTGGAGCACCGTTCGACTGATGAATCCTCACTCACCAGGTGATCTTTATATAGATGGTTCTCAATCTATTCCCAACGGATGTGAGGATCCACATCGCGAGGAGGGCGGGCTGTGGGCGATCGACTAAAATGACTGTGGCTCTTAACAAGGCAAAGGCACCCAAACTTTAGTCGAATAAAATTTCTGCAATAGCTTTTTTTAAAATATTAATGTCAGCCACAGGAGCAAATAGCAAGAAGCAGGGGCACTACTACTGCTGCCGTTCCCTCAACGGTTCACTGGAGTGCAAGATCCTAACAATGGAGTTGATATCAAGTTTCGAATAACACATTCAAAGAGCTTAATCACTATTGCTCAAACAGATTCTGGTCTATCCTCATAGAAAAGCAAAAATGTAGTATGGGAGATGTGCGAGAGGTAAGATTAAAAAGCATTAGATTATCTGTTAGTGACAAGGATGGGGAGTTCGTATCAATTCCTCATAAATTAGGTGTCAATATAACGAGGAGAAACCTTGAAGACACTTTCATTTATCGCCCATCATTTGAAAAGCAATTCAAATGTCAATACCAAAAACTGAACAACGAAAGGTCAAAATGGCAGAAGCGGCCGGATCAAAAGCATCAGTTACCTTTCAACACAAAGTTCTATTACTAAAATATCCGGTCTTGTACTTGCTTAGCAAGACTTATAAGTTAGTATTTACTGAAGAACTTTTTTTCTGCCCATCCATCCTTTTTCAAGATTAGACCTATCATAGCTGTTTGGATGGACAAATGAGCAGAATAACATGGTTTTTAGCGTTAATAGTTTGCCAGTTGTTGAAGCATGTTCAAGTTCATCCTTACTTGATGGAAACCTTAGACATTCGTACCCCTTTAATAAACGTGTTGAATGACTGCGCTATGTAAACCATCATCGAACTCCTCACGCAGCATGAAGTTGTATTAAAAACGTATGGATTTACGATTCAGCGACTGGTCGCCTTTCTAAAAGAGTGGCTAAGCTGATCAATCTTCAGATCGACAGGAAAATGTTGGGCACGAATGAAGAGGTTGGCAATGGGATAGCGACTGGTACCAAGCCTTGCCATTACGTTCTTGTCTAGAGTGTAAGTAATCAACTTCCGGTCATTACTTTATTGCAGATATATATATATATATATATATATATATATATATACGACTGCTTTGTCATGTGCTCAACACAAGAGGAAGTCGACAAATGTTTTGAGTTAATGAACAAATAGTCACAGCACACTAGGTTTACCTTAGAGAAAGAGAATGAAAACTGGTTTCCATTTCTGAACTGTTAAGTTAACCTATTCCAAAAAGCCAAGGAAATCCCTTCGATGAGGGAACTCGAACCCATTAGTCGCGAGGTACATGGCACATCGCCAGGTGGCGGATAGGGATTTAATCGCGGCCAAAAAATGACCGTATGTTTCGCTGAGACGCAGGTGGATCCAGGCGGTGGACTCTCTCTTTCTACTGCGCTGATTTGGCACATACTTTCTGTATTTACTTCCATTCATGCATGCGTGCGTTTTTGCTTATGCTGATTGTATTCTACGAGTCAATTTGGTCAAAAGCCTGCAAACAAGTGACAGGGAAATATACGGTAGGCGGTTAGGAGTTGCCTCCAACAAATAAGCTCCGTGTCCACTCGGAGAGACTGGCAAGCTACCCGTGAGTATACCCAGCTCCTACGTTCAGAGCCTAGTAAGCTATACGTGGATATCAAAAGGCTAAAAACGGTAAAAGAAACGGGCCTCATTTCGTCGACCCTGAAGGAGCCCCCAATTTCGCAGCGTTGGGTAGGACGAGTACGGAGAGGCTGCTAAAATCTCAGGGCCAGTGTAAGCTGCTTGGATCACAACGAACTAAGGTAACGATTTGTACCCATAATGCATGCCTACTTGCGTCCGAGCCCTCGATAGAAGAGCTGATCATGCAAACAAGAAAGATGGGGTACTACGTTATTGAAATGGCCGAGATAAGAGGCAGCGCTACCCATTCAATGTCATCAATGACACCAGAGAAGAACTGTTCCTCGAAACACGCGACATTAGAGGAGTCGGCGGCGTCGGTGTTCTCGTCAACACGAGTTTGTCCATTAGCATTGATTCATTCGAACAGCTTACAACCGGAATCGGACGTTCACGATTAAAAAGATGTGGATCAATACCGGCTTTGACAATCTTTGTCTCTTACGCGCCAACATCAGACTATGACGAAGAAGAAGTCGAAAGCTTCTGTATAGACATAAAGAAGTTCTACAGAGAAGATCGTACATTCTTTAAGGTCATCATTGGAGATTTTAAAGCCAAGATTGTACCAAGAAGAACGTCTGAAGAACGTCACATTGAGCCTCACAGATTAGAATAAAACAAACAGGGTTAGCTGCTCTCTGAGTTTATCATGACGATCAAGACCATCCAGGGTAACTCGCAACTCCAGTAGCGCTATCCTCAACGATGGACGTGGTAGCCTCCCACGTTCCTCGCTCTCTGGAAGAGTACCATAACGAAATAGACTACATAGTAAACCGAAGGCTTTACCTAACCGATGTCGCTGTTGTCCCAAATTCCACGCGAGAATTTTTCCATCGACTCCGCGCAAGAATCCATTTTTCGCGGAAAGAAAAAACCCATAAATTCAAAAAACGAAGGCCCAAAACTGCTAAAAACTGGGGCTTATTCAACTCATTCGTCGGCTGTTGGTAAGACGTCGTTATCGATAACATCGATGAGGAATATGATCGGTTCATTCAATATCCTCACGTTAGCGCTATGAAAGCTGAAAGTTCGAAAGTCAGCAAAAGACGTTTGTCCCCAGAAGTACTCGAGATGATACGCCAACGCGGAATCGCACGAGCTGCAGGCAACTGCCAACTAACGTTCGAACTTGCAGACAGGCGATAAAGGAAGATCTTAAAGAGAGGAGAGCAGCAGTAATAGTCGAAGGGCAGAGGCTGGGAAAAGAATTCACAAAGCCCACCAAAGTTTCGTCAATTACAGGACTAAGATGATTGTATTCGACGTCCAAACGGAACAGTTACGGCGTCCAGAAGGGCAATGGAGAAAATCATTCACGAATACTACTCGGATCTCTTCGATAGCCAATTCCACTTTCCTTCATGTGAAATAAAGGAGGATGGATATGTTGTACGACTAGTTCTCCCTCCAAAATCCGACATGCCATATCGTCGGTGAAAAATCGAACAGGAGCAGGTCCGGAGAGGATAGGACCAGAACACCTGAAGAACCTTCCGCCAGTCCTTGTAAACACACTGGCTCGGTTCTTCACAAGTTACCTATCTGAATGCAAGGTCCCTACTCAGTGGAGGACCAGCAGGGCCGTGTTATTGTTCAGGAAGGGTGTCCTACACGATATAAGCAACTATCCCCTAATCTTCTTGCTGTCTGTCGACTTCAAACTTTTCGTTCCAGTCATCCTGAACAGGACTGATAGAACACTGAACGAAGGGCAACCTTGTGAGTATGCAGGATTTTGAAAAGGATTTTGTACGAAGAGCCATATCCACACGGTAACAAAACTCAGTGAAGTATCGCGAAAACACGAAAGACCGCATTGCTTCACTCTTATCGATTTAAAGTAGGCCTTTAACTCAATTGAGATGGAAGAAGTCATGGAGGCCCTTGATAGTCAGAGGGTCAATACTCAGTACATAAAGATTTTTTTCAAGCCGTCCAAAAAGTTCACAACCAAGATATCATCATTCTGCAGCGATATTAACATCGACGTCAAAAGAACTGTTAGGCAAAGCGATACCATCTCGCCAATGATTAATTTACCACCACCCTTCAGAACTTCATGCGAATATTGGAATGGGATAATATGGAAGTGAAAATCGATTGTCGGCAGTTAAATCATCTTCGCTTTGCTGATAACATCGTCCTACGATGTTCATAAGGAGTGGATTGGTTTCGAATGGCCATTCACGTTCAACAGAACGAATATATCCGAATGCTCCAATTATATCTATCTAGGTGGGGAAATCAGTATAATAAACGACTTATAATAAATGACTTAACTCCACAGCTGAACAGAGCGAAACGAGCGGCTTGGAGAACTTTCAAGGGGATTGAAGATGTAGTGAAGAGAACAAAGAATACCCGACTCCATGCCCACCTTTTCGAATTGACGGTACTTCCTGCCTTAGCGCATGAGTCAGAAACCTGGTCGCGGCGTAAGCAGGATGAAAGATCACACAGCGTTATCGAACGCGCAGTCGAAATGGCGATGCTAAAAATATCTCGTTTCACGTAGGTAAGGGTAGGGATCCGTAGCTACAAGCTGCCTCAACGATCAAAAATCAAAGATACCGTTCTGTATGCCAAAGTCTCGAAGATAAGGTGGGCAGGACACGTAATGCGTATGAACGACAACCGGTAGACAAGAGCCGTTAGTGACTGGATTCCTCGGGATGTCAAACGTACTGCAGGAATACCACCGTCTCGATGTTCAGCGTTTTTCACGAAAAGCCTAGAAGAAAGATATGATTGTCAACGAGTCCCTAGAGCGAGCGGAATCCACTGGGCTACTCTTGCACGAGACAGGAAAAAATGGAAGATTTACTGGCACCCTCTGGGGTCACTCGACTACCAACGAAATTGCAGGTGATACAGGTGATCTCAAAAAGGCAACATTGTGAAATGGTACCGAAAGGCAAGTAGTGGAAACACCGGATATTAAAAACATTTGGTTCATTAGCTCTCCTCTCACCGCTCATACACGAAAAGCGCTTCTAAGAAATAGGTGTCGAGCATTCGCCAGCATTTGCACAAGGATACACTATAAGAAAGAATCCCTGAAATCGGCGCGGCAAATAGCCATTTCCAATGCTTGCGACGCTATAGCTCCTCAGTAGAATTGTGGAGAAAAATTCAGACCTCAAACGATGATTCTGTGCAAGAATAAGGTCCAGTTTATTCTGTCACTCATTTTCAATGAAATAAGTGTAGCTACAAAACGTTTCTTAATATGGATTCGTGCAGAGAATTTGATAACAGCGATTGAAATACCACCGAGCAGTCTAATGTCCCAACCATAGCGACGCTGATTGAATGAGTTCGGGTGTGGTTTATCTGATCTCTTGTGAAGA